CCTACTGGCTACCACTTTTATCGTATAAATAAGGTAACTGCCTAGAGGTCATTGTGTATAAGTCCACAGTCTTTATGATAGGGAATCATTCCAGTTGCCATGTCTTTTCATTATCATAAAGCCTGCGCTTTTTTTCATTAATTGTAGGCAAGGCCTTAGACCTCCATCTCATTATGTACCTGGTCAATATCATTGCGATTTTCATTAGCCACTTGGGCAATATCATTGGAAATTTCATTAGCTACTTGACTGATATCATTGTGATTTTCATTAGCTATTTGGAAATTATCATTGGAAATTTCATTAGCCACTTGGGCAATATCATTGGGAATTTCATTAGGCACCTGGGCAATATCATTGCAATTTTCATTAGCTTAGTTGGGCAATATCATTGGAAATTTCATTAGCTACTTGACTGATATCATTGCGATTTTCATTAACTATTTGGGAATTATCATTGGAAATTTCATTAGGCATGTGGGCAATATCATTGCAATTTTCATTAGCTAACTGGGCAATATTATTGCGATATTCATTAGCTATTTGGGAATTATCATTGGAAATTTCATTAGCCTCTTGGGCAACACCACCGCGATACCCATTAGCTACCTGGGAACCATCATTGGAAATTTCATTAGCCTCTTGGGAATCTCATTAGGCACCTGGGCAATATCATTGTGATTTTCATTAGCTACTTGGGCAATATCATTGGAAATTTCATTAGTCACCTGGGCAATATCATTATGATTTTCATTAGCCTAGTTGGGCAATATTATTGCGATTTTCATTGGCTACTTGGGCAATTTCTTTGGAAATTTCATTTGCCACCTGGGCAATATCATTGCAATTTTCATTAGCTCTTGAGCAATATCTTTGGAAATTTCATTAGCTGCTTGGGCTATATCATTGTGATTTTTGGTCATCAGGAGGGTGGTCACATGACCTATTTCCAAAAATGGTCAAAAAACGAAAATTGTAGCCCTGCACTGTATCTTCCTGAATCTGTTGGAATTATGTTCTAAAGTGCTCCCATTGTGGAGATATAACATAAAGTCTTTTTCTCATTGCTGGCTTTTTTCAACCTTTTTGCATTTTTCTCCATGAGAACAACACCAAACAAAATGATTTTAACACATTTAGAAAGCTAAGAGAAAGGGCTACAATTCTTGTATCATGGGAAAAATGACCAAAAAGGAAGGTGCATACCCTAACAGGTAAATTGACACTGACATATTACAAAAGATTGCAGGTAGACTACAAAAGTCAGTTATGGACTACAAAGTGTACTAGTAGACTACAAAGACCACAAAAAGTCAGACATGGACTACAAGTTTACTGATAGACTACAAAAGACTACAGAAGTTGGACTTGGACTACAAAGTTTACTAATAGACTACAAAAAGTCGGACATAGACTACAAAGTTTACTGATACCCTTGATTACTGTTATTGACAATCCACTTTTTTCATTACAGAAGTTAGTAGTGTCCATTACAAAAGTCTGTAGTGTCCACTTTTTCATTACAAAAATCTGTAGTGTCCGCTTTTTTCATTACAGAAGTCTGTAGTGTCCACTTTTTTCATTACAAAAGTTAGTAGTGTCCGCTTTTTAAGACTGCAAAGTTTGTAGTGTCTCCTTTTGCACTAGAAAAGTTTGTAGTCCACTTGTTTAGCTGATTGATACTAGGCTACTACCAATAGTGAATGAATGATAAAGGGCAGTAGGGTCATGTCTCTTTGTCAATCTTCATTCAGGATTAAGGAGAAAGACAGCTTGACTTAGGTGACCTTTTGCATCATAACCTAACATTGGGATTGAATGTAATGACACTTCTGAGGACCAATCAGA